GAGGCTGGCCGGAGCAAGGGCTGCGGGAGGGTGAGGGTGGGAAGGCAAGGGCGCTCGGGTCTGACAGTGCCTAGGCTGGATCACCCACCAGCATCTCCAGGCACAGGCTCTCCTGGAGCTGGTGTGAGGGAACTGCTGGGATGATCTGGGGGGCCCTTCTCTGCTGTAAAACAGGTTTGCGTGATGCCTGTGGTTGTTAATTCTAACGAGCTCCGTCCTCTTAAGCCGAAAGACCCTGGGGAGTGGGAGGAGAGGGCACAAGATCAGCCCCGGTCTCCTGCACCAGGCCCTGCAAGTGCCATGCCTGGGGAGGAGTGGGGATAGCCACAGAGGCTCTGCAGGTGCCCGTTCGTGGCCATCTTGGGTGATATCTGGGCGCCGCAGGCAGCTGTGAGCTCCGATAGGGTCCTATCAGCGGCGTGGCCAGCACGCTGGCGGGTGCGAGTCCTCCTGCCCTGGGTGCAGGTGGCTCAGGACTCTCTCCCCAGAGGGGATCTCTCCCCAGCAGCAGGGAGCAGAGACCTGGGGGTCGAGGGATGGGGAGACTGCACGGCGCTGGGTGCTTGTGTGGAACCTGTAGGCAGGTGTCCCCAGTCCTCACCTTCTCTCTGCCTTGCAGCATCTCTGCCCTTCGTCATCCTGACGCTGGTGAACTCACCGTACAAGCGGGGCTTCTACTGCAACGATGACTCCATCCGCTACCCCTACAAGGCGGACACCATCACCCATGGCCTCATGGCTGGGGTCACCATCACCTGCACTGTTGTCATTGTAAGGAAGCGTCATCCCCTTCCCTCCGGGTCAGGGACGTCCTGGCATGTCGCATCCAGGAGCTGGGTGCCAGCACAGCCCATTTCCCGACCCCTGGCAGGGCAACAGGACCCTTGGGTCGAGCCCTGCTCTGCTGGGGGTCAGGAGCTCCCTCTGGGGCAGTGAGACCCGTGGCCTGTGGGGCTGGTTCCCTGCAGGGAGGGGAGAGGCCCAGTCAGTTCCTGGGGCAAGTGGGTGCCGGGGGTTCCTCTGCCATAGACCCCGAGAGCCAGAGCATCCCGTACCCCTGGTGCTGGGGAGCTGCTCGGTGGCCCGGAGACCCTCACCCCTTGCCCCTTGGTCCCTGCAGATCTCGTCAGGGGAGGCGTATCTGGTCTACACAGAGCGCCTCTACTCCAAGTCGGAATTCAACAACTACCTGGCCGCCCTCTACAAGGTGGTGGGGACCTTCCTCTTCGGGGGGGCCATCAGCCAGTCCCTGACTGACCTGGCCAAATACATGATCGGTCGTCTCCGGCCAAACTTCCTGGCCGTCTGCAATCCTGACTGGTCCAAGGTGAACTGCTCCATCTATGTGCAGCTGGAGAACATCTGCCAGGGGGAGA